TGAACCCCATTTTTTTTGGGCGAAACCCTCCCCCCCCCCCCCCCCCCCCCTCTGTAGCCTAGTTAAACCGTAGCCCCCACTGCTTGCTGTACCACCGGTCCCCCACCACTGCTCTACAGACAGCACGGGTGCCCGGGGTGTTGGACCACACACACGCACACACACTGTTGCTCTTGCCGAGAGAGGAGAGCATAACTTAACAAAAAAAACAAAGGATGATGAGGGTCTAGATGTGTACGGAATGTTGGAAGAAGGAAAAGGGTTCAAGGAGTACCTACATGGACCAAATGGGCCAAAAGCTGAAGGTCAAATTCAGGACCGGGGACATTGACCTTCCGACAACTTAGACGAAGATATAGGAAGAAGAAAGTAGACAATGAAGACGACAAATATAAGTTCAAATGTGATTGCGGCTCCGAGTGCGAAGACCGGGGTCAATACTTGCGAATGGATGTGTCCGTTGTACATGTACAAGGAGAGGGAGGTAGGTGTACATGACTGAGCTGTGGGGGGGAACGTAAACGGGGGGGTTACAGGGAGATGTTTGAGGCATGGAGTAACCGGGAGAAGACGGGGCTGTACGGGGCATACGCATAGGAAGTGGGTTGAAAAGGCGGGAAGTGATATCGATAGGATAGGTCGACATTTATTTTTGAGGCACGTCTGTGGCAAAGTAGGAAGGAAAACGATTGGCCATCGGTGATCGGTCCTGTGGGAAAAATGCTCTGTCCTCTCTCGAGGACGCGTGGTCAATGGTCTAACTGCTAAGTAAGGCGTGCAAAATATGAGAACGCCCCCCTCCCCCCCCCACACTGTTTACAAACCACCTATGCCAGAATACACTGCTGTACACCTTGGAGACCACGGAATAACATCTTGTATTTGCTACTGCTGCATGTTTGCTGCTACTGCTGCTGTGTTGCTGTGCTTCGTACACAACAATAAGGAGGAATCACGCTGGGTACGGGCATATAACGAACGAAAACATTGTGCAACACAAACATAAAATAACTTACATCACTTCGATCAGGCTAGACCCTGATAGTATAGCCATAGAATCGGTTTAAGATTGTTTTTCTCTTAAACCGAAATCCCTGTTTAAGAGAAAACCTCTCTTAAATCGGATTAAGAGAAGGTCGTGTTTAACAGAGGTCTCCTTGGTCATGCACACCCCTCTCTTAAACCGTAGCCCCCACTGTATCCAACACGCAAGCCCCTCAGGCAAGTGCCAGGAGCACACAACCGTGTGCTCTCTCGGGGGGGGCGCACTTGGACCCCAACCGCATACAAACCCAACACACCCATACTTCCCATACGCGTATCCCCCACAGAGGATGCACAGGTCGGGCTCATATCCAAGTACCACAAACGAAATTGACAGGATTGCGAGAATTTTACGCACTTTTATCTTTTTTGGTCTTGACAACTTGGGTTCGGTTTTACGCCACCAATTTTGCGGTTGTATCGAAACACTTGTGATAGCGAAAGCGGCGACAATAGAATGCTGCGGACTGCTGCACGGGGAGCAAGATAGCCAACCGTGCAGTAAAATAAGAATCTTCCTGAACGAACCACACGGCACACCGGGCGAAAGCCTCTACAATGTGTTGTAGGCGTAGGCAAAAAACTTAACGTACGAAACGCCGTTGTCGAAAATCGGTGAGCGAGAAAGGCACGTGCGAATACGAGAGTAAAAACAATACCCTTCTCTCCCTCCCCCTTCCGCTCCACCATTTTCTACCTCCCTCCCCTGTGGTCAGGAGAAGACGGTAGCTGTAGCAGGGCATGGGAAGTGGGTTGAAAACGCTGGAAGTAATATCGATAGGATAGACATTTTTGAGCCACCTTTGGCAAAGTAAGAAGGATCGGTCTTGTGGGAACAGTGCTCCGCCCTCTCGAGGACGCGTGGTCAATGGTCTATATCCGCCAAGGCATGCAAAACATGAGTATGCCCCCCCCCGCCCCCTGCCCACCCCGTCCTCCGGTCGCTAGAACAACGCGCTTGCTTACTCTCTGGTCCGCTCACACCATGACCACAAAAATCGCACTCATGCACTCATGCAGGGCGTGATCCTGAAGCCGGCGTTCATCTACGGCTCTCGAGACGTGAAGCTCACCGGCCCCAAGGGCAAGGAACGCACGGTCAACATACCACTGCAGCGTGTGGGGGGGCCGCTGGCCAAGATTACCTCCACCGGCATCGGAAAGCGAATCGCAGGCGAGTCCCACCCCCCCCCCCGGCTTGGTTGTTGGTTGTTTAGAGCCTTCCTTCTAATTTATGATTCCTTTTTGGTGAATGGCACACGACTATTGACAATGTCATGATTGGTACATAGATTTCATCGTTGCTCCACGAAATTTAGCCCGCTTTGACGGTGCACCGACACGTGGCATGGTGCGCTTTGGAGCGATGGTTGGTTAGTGTTCCATGAATTGAGTTTTTCGTAGCACGTAAGGTGGGCCCGGGCCCGCCCCCTGCGAATTGTCGTTGCGCTGACAAGTAGATGGCCCATACCTTCATCGCCGGACTCTTCTTGATGTATAGGTAGTGACGGAATTTCACAAGGGGTTGTTGGGTTCGTGCATGTTCTTCGAACAGCGTTGAACGATGGTGCTGTATGTACAGCGGTTGACGTTTGTCGACAAGAATAATCATTTTTTGTCACCCCGACTGTTTCTCAGCTTGTTTCGTCTTTCAAGCTTTGAAGTCCTTCTCGGACAAGACAGGGCAGTGACGACCGAAGCTATATTGTCAATCTCGCTCTTGTGCGGTCGTGACTTTGAAAAGGTCCACGACTCTCGCTGCTGTGTCTGCGATGCCTGACTACGTTTGCGGACGCCCTCACACACCTCTCCGCCTAGACGCTATGTTTTTCTTTCTCAACAAACAAAGGTTAAGGTTTTGTGCTATAATAGCCGATTCGCGCTCAGACACGACAACTATCCCGGAAGGAGGAGCGGGTCGATGGCAATAACTGCAGCTCGTCCGAATAGCAACCCCACAGCATGCGTAATAGTGAGGAAAACTGCAGCATTATTAGTGTTGTCTTCAATGCAAAGAAATACCCCCAAGTATGATGGCACGAGGGTGCGTATGACTCCGCCCCCGTCGATGTAGTGCGCTGACTCCTCAAACCATGCCCGAAAACGCGCAGGCTCTGGTCTTCCCCTCGCCGACGTTGCGTGGACCCAGCCGCTGAGCACCGCCGAGGTGGCCAAGTCCGCCGTAAGGTGCTGCCTTGAGGGCACGGACTCTCTGGGAGGGGGTAGGGGTAAGGACTCTGGGGATGCCGTCGTCCTCAAGGTCCAGGACATGGCTCAGATGACGGCGTGACCCTGAGGCCCCACTCGCGTGCGTGTCATTGGCCGACAGCCACAGTCCTGTGGAGACCGAGAGAGAGAGAGAGAGAGAGAGAGAGAGAGAGAGAGAGAGAGAGAGAGAGAGAGAGAGAGGGAGAGGGAGAGAGTCGTGATCTCCAGAATACTCTTGGCTGACGTCGTTGCTGCTCTTTGTCGTCGTCGTGGAGTTGATCTCGCGAGGTATCGGTCGTTGCAGAGAGAGGGTGGCTCTTGGGAGAGCTCTCCTGGATAATAACTAACTCTAGACGAGATAGATACGTGGTGTTACGGCACCCACCCCTGGCGCCTCATCCAACTACTACGCTTCGGAAACAAACAAGAACGCCAAGTCGTACATGTCCTTGTGCTTGACCAATCAGTGAGGCGTGCAAGTAGGGACGAATCCGCGAAAGTATCAGTGAGAGGCAGGTGTGCATAGTTCAGACTTGGAGCCATGGCCATGGCACACGAGTACCAAAGAGTGAAAAAAATAGAATGGGGAGGCTCTAGCCTTGTAACCACGGGCCGTGGTGCTCTGAGGACCGCCTGCGTCGTTGGTGTTGAGCGCGCGCCGTTCCGTCGCGTCACAAGAAGGAACGGTATGCGTTGAACAATCTGCGCCGCCGCGGGCCTCTTGTCCTGCCGCATCAGCGCAGAAGCAAGAGGGCGATCGGGTTGGGGTTGGGGGGGGGGGGGGGGGTATCCTTGAGGAACGTCGGTCGGTAGTGCGGAAACGTGAAGAGCAACATGAGAGAACGTGACGAACAACGACGTGCCTGTACAAAAGTACTTCCAAGTACGCGAGGAAACAGGAAGGACCGTCCATCCATGTGGTTTGTAGGTAATAGTGTGGTGTACATTGTCTGCGCTTGTCCAGGGTTGGAGTAAAATGAAAGGTACGGCCCGGCAGATTTGAGCAAAGGCGTCATCGAACGTAGGTAGCAGTGTTGGAAGGGGAGGGGGGGGGGGGGAGGGGGGTTGGGGACAACATTTTGGTCTTAAAGGAATGGACGAGGTATTGGTTTCGGCACCCGACGCACCAACGAAGTACATGTTCCAGTGAATTGACGAATCTCCGTTGCAAAACCCCTGAAGCGCGGAAATTGTCACGAAAGGGAAAAGCTGTTGTTTGAAATTCGTGGCCCACGCCCTGGGATGCAATGAATCAAAAATTGGTGAATGAAGAAGTTGCCATCTTTTGACCGTCTTCAGAAGCCGAGAGAAGGGTATCACCCTAACTTTTCTACCCTCCCCCGAAACCTGGGTCAACAGCAGTGCCTCTCAGTGGGCACGCGCTTGACACCCATCGATCCATCTCTTTTGGAGCCCCTGCCTCGGAACGGAACTTCTTTCCCCCCCCTCTTTGTTGTCCCTCTGAAAGAATTTTCTGGGTTTGTTTGTGCCATGAAAGAAGAAAAATTAAGAATGGTACACATTGAAATACAATGGGTCTGTGTGGGTTGCACTGCTGGCAAGTTATTTTATGC